TAATTTCGCCCACTGCCCCTCGGACAGTGTGTTTAGAGCCGGTGTCGCATAGTCTGTTAATGATCGAATGGCGTGTATATATAGCGTTCTTTGGACTACATATCCCGCACCCACCTTGGGTCCTGTCATGGCTCTCATAATGTTGACTCTCTTGCCTATTCGGTCTCTTAGATAGTTTATCTCAGTGTAAAATTTGAGGCATTTGTCAATCCAGATGCCCAGGTATTTGTATACATTGACCCATTGTAGGGCAATACCTTATATTTGAAGTTGTGTCACCGGCTCATTGTATCCAAACCTCATGGCTTTCGATTTGGGGATTGATATCTTGAGCCCGAGCCTCATACATTCTTCACTGATGAGGTCTACTGCTCTTTGGACTTTGCTGATTTAGTTTCTGCCTTTTACTATCAGTGCTAAGTCGTCAGCATAGCACAGCAGTTTGGTACCCTCTTGAAAGGGGAGCCGACATAAGTTTTCCATGAGGATGTTGAAGAGAGTTGGCCTAAGAACTCCTCCTTGTGGTGTGCCATTTTCCAGTCTTTGCTGATCTGAGTCTTGTCCTTGACAAGTAATTCTTGCCGTTCTGTTTTGGAGATAGTTAGCAATCCAAGCCAGTAGGTATCTCTTGACGCCTTTCCGGGCCAGAGTGGTTACAATGGCCTGTGCATTTGCCAGCTCAAATGCTTTCTCTAGATCAAGGAATACTACGATTGCCTTATTTTGACCAATCGATCCCAGGAGAGTGGCCAAACTGTGTGCAGTGCTGAGACCTTTGGTGAATTCAAAGATATTGTGGTGAAGTGGTCCAATTTTCCAGAGGAGACGTGTAAGGACCATCCTTTCGGCGGTTTTGCCGATGCATGCTGTTAGTGATATTGGTCTGAAATTCGGGGGATCATTGGGTTTGGGAATAGGAACAATGTTTGCTCCTTTCCAAGCTGACGGGAGTTTGTCTGCTGACCATGATGCGTTTATAACTGTTAGGAGAACAAGTTCACCAGCAAGTCCTGCATTGTTGAACAATGAATAGGTTATACCCTCACTGCCAGGAGCGGTGTCTTTGCTTGTTTTCCTGGCCCTTCTGATTTCTTCTATAGTAAACAGACAGTCTGTAGTGTCGTCTTGTTCAATTGCATGTCTGACTACTACTTCTCTCTCCATTTGTACTTGCTGTAGATGAAGTCTTATTTCAGAGGTAGTTGAGCTGATGACGAGCGTTCTGCAAAGTGCTCTGCCAAGCGATTTGTTTCCTGGAGTGGCTGGGCAGTTTTCCTGTTGCTATCCTGAGTTTTCTCCAGAGTTCACTCAGGCTGGTGTGTGCATTAAAGGTTGCGCACCACTCGAGCCATTTGTCTTCCCTAATTTTCTGATAATTTGACGAGCATGTTGAACAGCAGCTCTCAAGAGTTTCACTCCCTCAGGGGAAGGGGTCTTGTCGGAGATGTCTTCTGAATGTGTTCATTCTATGATTCTGTTCTCTGACTTCGTCATTGTATAACCAGTATTCTTTGTGGTGTCTATTTATAGGATTTGTGTTTGGTATTGCTTTCTCTGCTGCATGTTGTATGGCATCAGTAAGGTCCTGGTTTAGTTGGTCAATATCTTCGGCTGGTTAATAGTTCGAAAACCATTTTTGGAGTTTATCTTGATATTATTTCCAATTTGCTTTCTTGGTATTCCATCTGGGTGACGGACGTGGGGGAGGAGGGAGTAGTTCCATTCTCAAAGTAGTTGTCGTTGCAAAGTGGTCACTGGTCAGTTCATCATCTATCTCCCACTGAACCACTGGAACGAGCTCAGTGGAGATGAATGTGAGGTCCAATGTTCCTCCCAGTATGTGTGTTGGTTCCCCAGTATTAATGAGCGTTATTTCTGGAACATCTGTCAGCAGTTCCACTAGGTGATGACCATCCAGGTTCATTCTTGTGGTCGAATTGATCGTTGGATGGTGGGCATTGAAGTCCCCAGCAATGAGCACAAGTTCCTGTGTTGCGTGTGCCAGTAGTTCACCGGCTTCTAGTCGTTTGGTAGGCGGTTTATAGATATTGTATACTACAAGACTGTCGTTTGCCAGGTGTATCTGAACAGCTTGTGCCTCTACTCCACTCCACAGTGAACTGTTTCTACTTCTGAACTGGGGATGGCCGCCCTGACGAGAATCATGCTGCCATGGGAGTTGGGCCCCTTTGGTACAGAGTACTGTTGGTATCCAGGCCAGCGGAATTGTTTATCTTTAGACATCAGGGTTTCTTGTAGAATGAAGACATCAATATTTTTAGCTAAGGCTGCTGCTTGTACAGTATGCCGTTTGTTGGACAGGCCTTGTACATTCCACTGTGTTATCTTGAGATTACGAGGAGGTGGGGCTATTCTATCATTATCTCCTCGTCGTTGTAGTTGCTCTCGGCGTTCATGGTCGAGTCGCTCTCCTCCTCGTCCGTTAGGAGTGGTGGCTGTTTCTTGGGCACCTGCTCTGAGGGAGGAGCAGGAGGTGGAATCTCGGGAGTTTTTTCTTCTCTCTTCAGGGTGCTGTCGCTCTTGTCTGTGATCGTGTGTTTGCTGACGGTCTGTGTTTGTTGTACTATTCCTCGTGATCAGTTGCAAGGGGCATGAGGTTTCACGGTTTTGAGAGATCTCTTGGATAGCAAGTTCTTCCTCTTGTCTGATATCTGTCTCAAGGACGTCGTCTGTTACACTCGTAGTTGTGGAGTTTTGGGGGTCTGGTCTTCCTGCATCTTTTCTGTGAGCTGCGTCATAACTGCATTTATTATATTTTCGGTGCTGGTATCTTGTTTCTGCATTATCGTAGAGAAAGTCACTATCATGATAGTGATCATTTGTTTTATTTGTTCTTCGGTGAATGCCACTTGTAGATTGGCAGGCTGGGGTGTATTTAGTTGGGTGGTCGCCTGAAGGGGTTGCAGTGTCCCAGGCAATATGGTGTTCTCCACCAATACTGGAGTGTTCTGTCCTTTTACTGCTACACAGCTCTGGAGCTGCGGTTGAGGAGTCCACTGGTTTGTCATGGTTTCCTGCATGGACTGATTTTGTCCCGGTGTCTTCAATTTTGTCCTGTAGCCTGGTGGAGGAAGTGCAGGGAAGGAATCCTCTGACAGTTGAGGCGGAGTGGGTGTTGGGTTGACTGTATTCTGTCGCTGTTAACCCCACACGAATGTGCTCCGAGGTGCTTCTGTTCTGTTTTGTGGTTGAACTTTTGCCATTGCAACTTTCATCCGCTCTCTCCTCTCTGGGCATGATGTGCTCCAAGCGTGATGTTTCATTCCACAATTTAGGCACTTGGCTGTCGTGATGGTTCCGTCCTTGTGTTTCTGAATACACATTTCTGGCATGTGGCTTTGGCTGCAAATGCCAAATCTCACGTTTTTGTGGCACCTGGATTGGTGATGTCCAAATTTCTGACATTTGTAGCATCGTAGTGGTTCTGGGACAAAAGGACGCAACTTGTAAGTCCCCCAGTTGCCTAGGTTTACCTCCTCTGGGACTGTCCCCTTGATGTCCACTAGCACTTGCCTTGTCTGTGCTTTGTCCCGACTCGTAACACAGCGCTCTGCCTTGGTCACTTTTGGATGTTTTATGATGACTTCTACAGGTAGTTCAAGAGGATATCGTAGTAAGACCATTCTGGTTGTTTTCTCCTCGGGGTCTAATAGTATTATCTTGATCGTCTTTCCGTTGAGATTGGTGACCTCGCTGAGGATCTTGGCTGTGTTGTGGTCTTGGGGGGAAAGTATCAAGTCTCCAACTAGATTGGGCTTCACACTGAACTTGATGTTCTTGTATTCTAGTTCCAGTGCTACTACTACCTCGTATGCATGGTCGAACTCGGTTTCCTTGGAAATCTTGTACTTCATGAGTCGGAATCTCGACGGTGGGTGGTTCTGCCACGGGGTGGATTGCTGGGGACATATTGGCCATGTCGGAGAAGTCGTCTTCCTTCCGAAGCCTCTTGTTGCATTTTCCTTCTATTGGTTACGTCTCTCTCGCTCGTCTTAAATCAATAAATTGACAATGAAGGCTCACTATACCTACCTAGTTCCTCGTGCCCCAACAGGGGTCGTAGGTACCAATAGTGGATCTGGCTTTCCAACAGGACCCTCACAAAAGGAGGTGCCTACACTACCCTATCAGCTAAAATCACCGGCCCATCTCACACCCCTCTAAGGGGCCCCTTTGTGGCCTGTCCTAACGACAGTTCCGGCAGGGTTCGTTATTACTGGGAGAATCGGTAAGGGCACTAAGAATTGTGAGCATAAAACACAAAAAAACAAGCAAGTCAATTCAACAGAGACGATATATCCACGTCAAAGTGAGAGTGGCATGTATGGCGACAGTAAGTCTGGGTAGGCGCCATCGTGAGCAGTGGAAGCGCGTGGGTCGGGAGTAAATGCGACGTGCGTCTTCTCACAGCGGTGGCTCACGCTGAACTGTGGTGCCTCCAACAATGCAGGTAGCTGCATTTACAAGGTTCCTTGCAAGGAATGTAATATGTTCTACTTAGATCAGATGGGAAAAGATCTTATAACTAGACTTAAACAACATAAATATAGTGTTAGGACAGGCCAGGAGTCCAGTGCTCTGTTCATTCATACTGGAGATAATAAGCATTGCATTGACTGGGATAATGCCTCCTCAATTTTACCTTGTAATCCAATTGTCAATAGGAACATTATAGAATCTAGTCTCATTAAACATACCGAATCTGCTCTCAACATGAATTTGAGTAATGGCATGTACAAATTGGACAATTTTGTGATTAAGAAGATTTGTAACCAGGTGAAAGGGCTGGATAAGCCTTACCTTATGACCTGATTATGGTGCACACCTGCTGTCCCTAGGGATTTGATCTCCTTTTCTGCATGCATTACCCTAATCAATAAATACCCACCCTTAAAGATGAACTATATATAAACATATAAATTTATATAAATTACATTAGTTGTCTAATATCTAACATTGTTTTTCACATTCTCACAAAGGTATCGGAGGGCTGGTGACGTGTACTGTAGGTTGCATCATGTGTTGTAAGAATGAACGTATGGAACAATCATTACCTACATATCCGATCCAGTCTGTACAAGATCAAGCTAACGCTCCCAGTTGTCCATCCAACCAGCGTTCATACTCCGTCACACAGCCTCCATACCCCAGCCCACATTCACATTATTCTGCTTCAGCGTCACCGGCAGCCCCATTAAGGCTGAACCTTCAGGAACTCGGTGCTTCGGAACTCTTATTAACATTAACCAGAGAAAATAGGGTGGAAAACCCAACAGAAAGGGAGCATTCTCCATCAACAGTCAACAGACCAAATCCTGAAAGAAACCTGGCACAGTCTCCAACTTACAACTCCTCACATAATATATCTGACGGAGGCGCTATGGCATCCTGGCAGCCTTCGTCAGACAGTCCACCCAGCTACGACGAAGCGATGGCAGCGCAGCATCGTGGTCCTCATTTGGTCTGAGTGCAGGCAGGCTCTTGCCGTCATCCACTTGATTTATCTATTAAGTTTTATTAACTCAATAATATGGTAATCAATGTGTCTTTAGATGTACAGTATGTACACCAGGACACCTTACATAACCAATGCATACACAATTACACATGCACAGCGATTATATGTCGATATAAATATATATATATATATATATATATATATATATATATATATATATATATATATATATATATATATATATATATATATATATATATATATATTTCATTAGCCCAATAAAGCACGAACTTCTACATACAATCAACACCTCAACTCGCCAGGATTCGAACCCACGGCCCACGAGCCCATGACTGTGACCAGGGAACGCTACCTCTGGACCACCAGGATACTAAAAGCAGTTCTAGACTTATATTTATTTATTTATATATATATATATATATATATATATATATATATATATATATATATATATATATATATATATATATATATATATAAATATATTATATATATATATATATATATTTATTATATTATATATATATATATATATATATATATATATATATATATATATATATTTATATATATATATATATATATATATATTTATTTATTTTATTTTTTGTTACGCCGTCTCTTAATTTAGTTAAATATCCAGGTTCTAGGCGTAACCAAACAAAAAAAGTGAAGTAAATTAAAAGGGAATAAAAATAGATAAAGTAATCCTTTAAGAATTTAATTAATTAAATATTAACACAATAAAGAGCCTCGTAAGCTGTCACAACAAATTGATTCACCATCGAAACTTTTAAGACATAAATGATACTAAACATCGAAACATCAAAAGAATAAAAATAAAGCATTGGATTACGTTAACACTGTATAAACATATAAAAACTAACACTGAAATTAACTAAGGTGAAACAACACTGAATTACTTAAATATAACTAAGCAAATACTGATGGACATAAATAGAGGCATAAATAGGTACTCACATAGATATACCACATTGGTGGCGAAAGGAACAACACAAATAAATTAAGTATGAGTAACAGGTGACGAGTGTCACTCAAAGGATGTGAACTGTATGACAAGAGGACTGAACTGCCCTCTGTCAGTTGGTGGACCACTATTATATAGGGCCAAATTCCCGCCCAAAACCCGCAGGTGGGTCGTTTAACGATGCAGATGGTCGTTAGAGGAAAAGAATGCTTGTTACAATACTAAATGAAGAAATAAGATGGCCTTGAACAAATAATAACAGTTAAAACCTTAACAGCACAGGGTAAGGTGACTAGATTATATAATAATAAATATAACACATCATTACAGGAATAATATGGAACAACATGGAAGCATGTTATATAAAAAAAATTGAAAAATACGACACGGTCGTAACAATATATATATATATATATATATATATATATATATATATATATATATATATATATATATATATATATATATATATATATATATATATATATATATATATAAAATCACACACAATTTAGCCGTCTTGAATAAAGACGAAAGCTAAGGTGCTCCATTGTTTCCCTTTTCCTGTGTGATTTTATCAAGATATCTTATCCACGTTTCATTGTATATATATATATATATATATATATATATATATATATATATATATATATATATATATATATATATATATATATATGTAACCGGTCGGAATTACTGGACTTAATTTCTCACTTGACTTGGGGTTTATTAATTATTAGATGGAAGTTGCAGTGGAAGCGCCCCTTGGGGAAACACCCGAACCAGCACAAGAACACTTAAATTTACTACAAAAATGAATTCTCCGTGACCCGTGGAAAGATAGCATCTGTGATTGGGATGAATGAGACACACTGTAAAATTTAGACACTTATATTCCCTCCAACACTACAGACACAATCAAATAATAGTACACCAACATATGCACACCTCTTAACCTGAACTTAAAACACTACTCTGGGGAATAAAAGTTATACATGATATTGAAATTATTAGAAACTCAGACAATGCCTCATTAGTCAACAATATATTCAAAGTATTAAGAAGTGTTGCTTGTACACATGAAACAGGCCTTAAGGGCTTTCATCAAAATAATATCAACCACTGAGGGATTAGTATAAAAAATAAGAGATTATTAACTCCACCATGAATAGGCGTAAAGGGCACTCAATAAAATTATGTTACACCAACAGATGCAGGCCTTTAGGGTTTTCAACAAAATAATATCAATCACTGAGAAAATGGTATTAAAAAAAATAAGAAATTAACAACTCTACAATGAATAGGCCTTAAGGGCACTCAATAAATTTATATTACCCCAACAGATGCACACCTCCTAACCTAAATTAAACACTAGTCTGGGGAACAAAGGTTATACCTGAGATTGGAATTATAAAGAAATCTTAAATGCATTAAAGGAACTAAATCACAGCATCACTTACAACAGAGAGGAGGAACCTCTTCTGAAAAACAGTTCCCTCATTCTCTGGCATCAATTAGTGACACAAACATTAAAGAACAATACTATCACATTTATTTAAGAAATATTAACTACACACAGCAAGACAACATCAGTAACTGAAAAAATAGTATTAACTACACACAAAAATATTATCACTATTATTAAGAAGTTACTGCGTCCACCAATACCCGTGACCCATGCTTCCTAACCTAACACATAGATTCCACATGCACCCGTAGTTTTTAAGGCACAACCAACAGGCACACGTAGTATAAGGCCCAAACCAGCCTTTCTCAACCTTGGAAAGTGTACCTCTAAGTTCCACTAGACTCTTGGCCTCAGTGTGTGATCATTCATTCACTCAGCTGGCTTCACTTTACACCCAGTACATCCATGAATGGAGGGGAGTGAGCAACTACGACCTTGTACAGTTGAGAGAAGCTTTAGCGTCCCGTTAGTAATAGGTTTTCACTAAACTGCTTGAAGATATGTGATATTGTGAGCCGAGGTAGAGGAGGGCTGATGACCCAAACGATTGTCAAATCGTTAGTTGGCCACCCAGACAGCTGGTTTCACTCCAACTCTCACCATACTCAACAGCGTGGCTCAAACTCAGGTCAGTGGACGTTCATACAGCTCGTGTGGGGATGCTTCATACTGCCCGCTTCACCACTCGCCTCACTGCTCGCCTGATACCGCCAGCTTCACGGCTCTTGTGAGGTCTACAGAATCCCTGCAAAAACCCTCTGTTCGCTATTGGACTCACTCATGTTTGTTTCTACCGCCCTATCTAAGCTCTGAGAGATTGAATAAAACTTACTTGTTAATATTGATATTGAATAAACGAAGGAAACCAGTTCACGTCTCTCCTGGTTACAGAGCAGAGATGGTAATGCTAGCTTGACCTCTCTCCCAACTCCCCAAGCCATGCTTTCTCACGCATTCACGCTTTTCAGGAGTGACTTATTTACCAGACGATTAACAGCTTAATTAGGAAGTACGCTTAACGCCATTTGAAGTTAGTTTAACACAGTATGAAGTTAGTTTAACGCCATTTGAAATGCATTAAATGCCATTTAAAGTAAGTCTAATGCCATTTAAAGTTAGTTTAATGCCATTTAAAATTAGTTTAACACCATTTAAAGTTAGTTGAAGAACATTTAAAGTTAGTTGAATGCCATTTAAAGTTAGTTTAACGCCATTTGAAGATAGTTTGACACCATTTGAAGCTCGTTTAACGCCAATTAAAGTTAGTGTAACGACATTTAAACTTAGCTTAACACCATTTCAAGTTAGTTGAACCCCATTTAAAGTTTGTTGAACACCATTTAAATTTAGTTCAACTCCATTTGAAGTAAGTTTAACGCCATTTGAAGTTAGTTTAATGCAAATCGAAGTTAGTTTAACTCAAATTAAAGTTAGTTTTCGCCATTTGAATTTAGTTTAACGCTATTTGAAGAGCGTTTAATGCCATTTAAAGTTAGTTTAACTCCATTTAAACCTGGTTTACGCCATTTAAAGCACGTTTAACGCCAATTAAAGTTAGTGTAACACAGTTTAAAGTCAGTTTAACACTGTTTAAAGTTAGTTTAACGCCATTTGAAGTTAGTTCAACACCATATAAAGTTAGTTGAATGCCATTTAAAGTTAGTTAAATGCCATTTAAACTTAGTTTAACGCCATTTGAAGTTAGTTTAATGCAAATCGAAGTTAGTTTATCCCCATTTGAAGTTAGTTCTATGCCATATAAAGTTAGTTTAATGCCATTTAAAGTTAGTTTAACCCCATTTAAAGTTAGTTGAACACCATTTAAAGTTAGTTGAATGATATTTAAAGTTAGTTTAACACCATTTGAAGTTAGTTTAACGCCTTTTTAAAGTTAGTTTGATGCCATTTAAACTTTGCTTAACACCATTAAATAAGTTGAACCCCATTTAAAGTTAGTTGAACACCATTTAAGGTTATTTGAATAATATTTAAGGCTAGTTTAACGCCATTTGAAGTTAGTTCTATGCCATTTAAAGTTAGTTTAATGCCATTCGAAGTTAGTTTAACCCCATTTAAAGTTCGTTCTATGCCATTTATTTTAGTTTAATGACATTTAAAGTGAGTTTAACCCCATTTAAAGTTAGTTGAACACAATTTAAAGTAATTTGTATGATATTTAAAGTTTGTTTAACGCTATTTGAAGTTAGTTTAACGCTATTTAAAGTTAGTTTAACGCCATTTTAAGATAGTTTAACGCCATTTAAAGTAAGTTTAACGCCATTGGAAGTTGTTTAACGCCATTTAAAGTAAGTTTAACACCATTAGAAGTTAGTTAAACCGCATTTGAAGCGCATTAAATGACATTTAAAGTTACTTTCGTGCCATTTTAAGTTAGTGTAATGCCATTTAAAGTTAGTTTAACACCATATAAGGTTAGTTGAACACCATTTAAAGTTAGTCGAACGCAATTTAAAGTTATTTTAACGCCATTTAAGTTAGTTTAACGCCATATGAAGTTAGTTTAACGCCATTTAAAGTTAGTTTAACACCATTTGAACCATGTTTAACGCCATTTAAAGTTAGTTTAACTCCATTTGAACCATGTTAACGGCAATTAAAGTTAGTTTAACTCGGTTAAAAGTTTAACGCCATCTAAAGTTAGTTTAACGCCAATGAAGCGCGTTTAACGCC